CTCACGTTGTGTACAGAGGTCTCGGTTCCAGCAACGGTTATCAATGAATGTGTGGTATAGTGTTTATTAATTTTAAACGGGATTTGAATAAATTTCAGTATTTTCGAACACAAAGTTTAAATTACTTATTTCAGAAACGCCCTGTATAATATAATATCGTGCCACTGTACCATCTCATACAAACACTTGATTAGACATATTATGAGGGTTGTACAAATAAAAATGGAAAACACTACGCCTCATTAGATTCTGAAAATATAGTACCTAGAAGCAAATGACAAGTGACTTCAATCTATTTTCATCAGCGCGGTCTGTCAAATGATGATAAATTGGAGACATTACACCCCCTAAAACACCAATTAAGACCATCTAAAAGCTTAAATGAAGTCAAACTATGTTAACTATGTCTTAGTACTGAAAAAAATAACTTTTATCTGCTCCTAGTAAATAGTAGATAGTAAATAATAAATAGACTATTATATACTGTTTTTAAGGAGGTAAGTGGATTTTACCGTAGAAGTGGAAGTTGCTATGGACAACGGGAGGTAAGTGAGGTATCTTACCTCCCTAAGGAAAAAAGCGATTTCGAGTTATAAATGCATATTTTATTATTACATTTTATTATTAAGAATGCATATTTATAGTAATTGTACAGTTATTACATTTAGTAACATTTATAAAATCTGTATAATTATTCCCTTCGCGTAATTAATATTATCTGACTGATCCATTAAAATAGCCATGATGCGACGTACTACTAGAACCTGGAGTTGAAGTGTCATTGTAAAGAATCCTGTTGGCTATTTCATTTTTGTTATTTAAACTGTCAGCAACTTAACTTTCTGCAATTGTGGCTGATTTTCAACCACCACGTCTTTTGATTGCTAATACATCAACTCCTGTATTAGCCAGTAACGTTGCCGATGTTCTTCGGAATTAATGGCCTGTATATGTTTCAGGATGTCCTAGTTTCAAAAACTGTGCAATCTTATTAGGAATCATAGAAAGGGTATTCTTGCCGACTGGTTGGTTGTAACATCTACCTGCTTGATGGCGCATAAAAAAGCGTGAAATTTTAGTTTCAATTTCCAATCTAATGATATATTTCTTGAGAATTTCTAGGTGAGAAAAAGAATTCAGACGAGAAGTAATTGTAAACGTACGTGGCATACCATTTTTAGAATCTGGAATTGTAACTACAATAATGTCATCAAAATTTTTGAAACTGACGTTGTCCAAAGTAATTTTGCATAACTCATTGGAACGGCATGCTTCTGCAATGCCTAAGACGGCCACTAGAAAATTGTCGACTTGTTCTCTTGCAAAGACGATTGACTTTTTAGGTGTATAGCCGTCATTCTTACGTTTCTAAAACGCTCTCAGCTTGAGGTATTTTGATATATCCACGTTCTCCTCTATGAAAATAGTTGACTTAATAATTGAGTATTCACTCCACACTGGTGACTTTAAAGTTCTTGATTTCTCCATGAAATATGCTAGCAGTGACATTTCAAAAACACCAGTATTTTTGTTCTGGCACCGTTCTTTGAAATTTCTATATGTTCGTCTGTAGCACACTTTCGACTTCTCGAGTGATAAAAATTCGCAGGCAGCATTTGCTGCACTTTCTATTTGAAAAGCACTCAATAGAAATAATAATTCAAAACCAGCAAAATTGCAACATTTATGTAGCTTTGTTTATAAACGCCTTAGAAACGACAAAATCCAAACAACCAAGGCGACTTTGCAAGATTTTGAATAATGTCAAAATGAATTGATTATGAAATTGCATCAAATAAAACCGAATCTTTATTTCATGAACCATAAAGAACTATGGGAGCAGATAAAATGTTATACACCACGCAGCAGTTAAGTATAATTTATCAGTCTCGCTCCGCTCGGGCGCAAAATCGTCCTCGACTGGTAAATAATACTCCTTTACGGTGTAAATAACTATTTGGTCCTACAGTTCAACTTTAGCGTTTCTGGTAATGTAATGAATATCACCATTCATAAAAATCACCCATTCGATTAGACACAAATAAGAAAGTACTTCCAGACCACCGTACGTGTCACTCAAGCGCTCAGAGCTGGATTTACGGTGTAAAATGTCAGTTGGAATGCAGTTATGAATACGAAACGTTATGTAACATCGACTTATTAATACCTGCATGTTAGATAAATATTCAAATGTTTCCACATGAGCGAGGTTAGCGTGAATTAGAGGACTTTGAACCAACTGAATTAGATATGTGTGCACGGTAAATATGTATACTGTTTAAGAAAAAAAAACGATGGGGAAAAACTGTTAAGGCAATAAGTTTACTGGACGTAATGGTGCTAGTTGTTCAGTAGGCATGTTTAGATTCGTTTGTGGCGTAATAATATAGCACAGTTTTTTTAACTACTTAAATATACTGTCACAAATAAATATTGTTGTTAAGTAAATACGATTGTGTAAATTATATAAATCTATGCGAGTGGGAGCAATGTGGCAATCGCTAAAATCCATATTCGAAAGATGACCGATGACATTACTAATACAATTCATGCAAGTAACAAACGCGCGTACATGTTTTACAATATTCTAGGAACTTGAGTAACAGTATAAAAATAAAATAATCGAATTCCACTACAATAAAATTTATCGTTACACAGTTATTGTCTACATTTGTAACAATGGTCCTTTTATCTTATCGCGCTTATGACATTTTATTGAAATACTAGAGCCACCGGGTCTCGTGATTACGTCACGTTAATGTCTTATCGGATACGAATTATAAAATAAAAGATCGCGATACTCCTAGAATGTAAAGTGACAGCGGGTCGATTTGCATTCGTATGGCGTCTATCGGCAAATATTAATTTCCGAGAACAAATATGGTATTTACCCCGGCCAGGCAGTTGCGCAATTTTTATAATAGGAATAAGAAAAAATAAAACTGATAAACTGTTTAGAAGCTCACAAAAGTTTCGACAGAATCTGAACATAAATCAAGCTTGCTTGGAACCAACAGTTGAACACGTAACATTGCAATATTTTATACGACTTGATTTAAATACTCTCAATTGTTTTCTTGTTCAAAAATAACTTACTTTAATACTTACGGTTTATTTTGAGGCATATTTTGATTTCAAAGTAGTGCAATATGTTCCAAGGAAAATATAATAATGAATCTATAAATAACTGTACCAATTTCAAAAGCAAATAATTAAAAATACTTACTAAAATCTGATTCAAAATATTTTTAAAACCGTTTCAATTTAATAAAAAGTATTCGTTATAATTTTTTTAAATCACTATTTAGTGTGTGAATCTCAATGTCAATGACCTATGATCGACCTAATTTAGAATTGTACTGTCCTTATTAGGGTGACCCAAAAAAAACGAATATTTTTTTCATCTCTTATGAAAATCAGCTCAAAAAAAAATTTTCTTTTAGAGGTCGCTCGAAAACATTTGAAGTACAGTACTTTTAAAATTAAAATAATTATGAGTGACCTAAAATTAAAATATCGATTTGAAATTTTCAGAATCGAGAATTTTTTCAACTTGGAAAATAATAAAATAACGAGAAAAAAAATTCAATTTTTGACGATTTTGAAAATTTTTAAAAATCTTGAGCGACCTAAAACATTTTTTTTGTGATAATTCTTAAAACATGATAAAACATATTTTCACAAGACACGAAAAAAAAAAAAACCTTTTTTTTTGGGCCACCCTAATCCTTATATTACATATGGGGCAGGGACGCTAAAAAAGTTAAAACAGGATACTATTAAAAAATTACAAAATTCTGAATAAAATACTGTATTTACGTTTTTGCTTTCTTATTCAATTGAATAACCAACAACATACAAAAGCAAACTAAACCGGGATTGATACGCACGAACTGATAAACTTCAGTTTATCGGTTTATAAAAAGGTGTTTATAATATATAAAACAGATAATTTCATGACTTTCTGTGTGAAGTAGGTATTAGTTCTTACTAGAATTGAAATTAATTTGTCTCTAAAATCCCGGTGCGACACGTCCAATAGTTAATTAAGAATTAACATTATAAAAAAGTTATTTTGGGAACAAAGAATAAAAATAAGCTCTAATGCAAAAAAGAGCGAATTCCCGAGCGGCTTTTGCCTGATATTGGGACAATTTGTTTATAACAAAAAAATATAGGAATTTGTTTATAACAAAAAAATATAGGAGTATCTTGGTATGTCGTGAGCTACACTGTAAATAAATATGAAAATTTCGTAATAAAATCTAATCGTAGGCGACCTATGACGACGTCACAATTTGCCACGCCGACTTTGAGCAAAGGTGGTATTGCCCCTGCAAAACTGGTCTTCGTGCCGTTGTTTGTGTATTCCAAATCACATTGCCACAGTTACATCTACGTAGACGTTTTTTTTTTACTAAATATTGACAAGTAGACGTTTAAACACAACAAACTTATCTATTAGTATTTTTTTTTATGTAAACCGGCCACTTCAAATACATCCATCATTCGTTATCGCGTTTCAGAGTTATATGTCAATTCAACAAAAGGGTTTCTGTGTTATTGAATAAGTAAACAAGTTAGGTACAGTTTGAGGAGTACAATGACGACTGTTTTGTAAATCTAAGTATTCCCAGAAATAGGATTAACTACAGACTATTTTTTTTTAATGATGTATTTGTCTCAGAATATACGCTATTAAATAATACTTGCAATAATAGCTAGCACTTTAGAGAAACTACACTAATGGAAATATAAAGTAACCTAGTGTTTTCTAGCGCCAAAAAAAGCGGCTTCTTTGTTGGTATTTTGAAGAAAACTAATTGTCTGCTGTTATCTAAAGAATTGGAAACGTTCACAAACGAGGTTCAGTGTATTTATTCTCGATTGTTAAGTTTTATAAAATATATTTCACGACCGGTCCATTTTTTTTAAACTGACAGTCGTTACGTTTCCAATTCAATAGGTTTCATAGTTCATAGTTTTGCATTGGTACTCACCTTTCTGTAGAGCTTGACCCAGGTGAGGTCACCCTTCGAGTCTGTATATTGTAGACCGAAGAACCAGACCTCCCTGAGACCGATGGTCTTGACCACCTGGTCGAAGAGCTGTTTCCCGGACGTCGTCTGCTGGATAGCGAACTCCAGCTCCGCGTCCATTGTAGTCACCCTGACGTTCATCTTGAAAAAAATAATAATAATAATTAATGGTAATAGGTGTGTCAATAAAGAAGTTAAAACATTTGTTATAAAGACTGGAATAGTTATTAATTCTAAAAATGTTCCTGTATTCTCAAAGAACATTCAAATAAAATATCCCGACTTGAAAATGGAAAAATTTATTTCTATAAAAGCCATTTGACGAAGGTCTTCGATGATGGAGATAGATGGCGTTGTAGTCAATAACAATTATTCTTGCGAAGGAACTTTGAAATTAAATTCCTTACCTTAAATTTTAAGTAAATTAATTAAATATAAAGAAATCTCGAAAAATGGGTTGTTTTTGACATATAACACGACCTGAATTAAAGATACACAAAACTAATAATTTTAGACAATCAAAATATATTGATAGCTTCATATCGACTGTCAATAAGCAAGGATAACCAACAAAAATGAAAAAGGTGAAATTATTATTAATTTGTTAAGTTCTCGATCTGACAATGTAGAAAATCTTGTTATTTAATTTTAATAGTATCAAGTTTAAATACCGTATACGAAGCCACATTACGTGATCTTATAGCTTTTTGGCAAAAATCAATGTTAATTAATAGAGCAGTTTCCTTCGATGACTGTAAAAACCTATGTATGAATTTTTTCAACCACCTTTTGACTTACCGAGCTTAACCGAACTCGGTATCGGAATTAGCGACCCCAAAAACCCATGAGTACCTGAAACCGATGTTTTTTTCAAACTAAATGTTAACCTGTGAACTTATTTGTAGCCAACAAGAATCTACAAAATTAAAATAAGTAATAACAGAATAAACGTCACATCTCTAGCTAGGAAGGCAGACAAAACCAAACAAATTTAAACCATCCAAACTGAATAGGAAAAAAGCATTAAGTTTTGATAACTAAAAAATATCCATTTTTCGAAATGTTAACTAGAAGTAATTGAAGTGAACTTTATACCTATTAATGTGTTCATTTTTTACTTGTTTGCGTTTTTCAGTGTTATATTTTTGGGTAGACAAATAACCCTTGGCCGATCCTTTAGGAGCAATTTAATTTTTATTACAGACGGCGAAATACCCAATAAACTGTGCCACAAGCAAACAAATTAAGATTTATAACTAGGCCAAACTCTTAAGATATTTCCTATTCGCACAACGGTGATCTAGTTATAATTGTTCTTAGATCAGAAGTTATCAATGAGCTGTCATAAATATAACATAAAAGGCATTTAGCTCAATAATACTATGACAAAAGCGATAAAATTTAAAGAATCGTAAAATGAAACTGGATTATAGCTATAACATTTTTTATTAATCCATGAAGCAGGGTATTGTCATATCAATACAGGTATCGTTATTGAGACAAATAAAAAAATACACCTCACATAAATAGCAGCCTTACAAAAACGCAATATTTTTAATTCGATATGTTTAGTTAATATAAATAACATATTTATATATCCAACCCAAGTAGCTTTGCTAATTGACTTAATTTGAGTTCCAAGAAACGTTCAGCTTTCACCAAAACCGACGACAGGAAAAGTCAGACGGTTCGTAGGAAACAGTTATAACACTTGCTTATTTTTTAAGTATTGTAATAATAGCAATCAATATTCCTATTATTATGAAATGAAAACCATCGTGGTTGCTTTGAATTAAACCTCAGCTGTTCAGACGGAATACGACAGCCAAGTGTTTATTTGCCCTTGAGATAATGTAATTTATGAGTATATACAACCCGGGATGACAAAAAGAGAGGGTGTTCTTTGTGACAGTGGTACCTGGCCAGCGCCAGAATAAGGTTGATTATTATAATATGTGTGCCAGCTTGAATACATTTGTTTAATGAATTGTGAATTTGTGAGTAATATGTAATACTAGTTAATGTTTTTGAAAACCCTAGGGCACGCCACGTGTTCCCGGTCATATCGCTGTAGTTCCTTCGAAGTGTTGTTAAGTTCTACGGGGTCTTACATGCGCTTCGATTGACACATACTGGGCGTAATTGAGGTAGGTGGCATAATAATAGTGTGACTCACACACCAGGTAGTTGGGATGCTTACTAGTTGGCGTCCAGGGGAGCCTCGACTGATTTCAGCTAGTTGTTGAAGAAAGAATGATACATATTTGCTAATTCATATAATGGAAATGTATGGAAGGATATACCTTGAATTCTAAAGTTAGGGGGGAGTGTAACACCCCGGTGAGTTACCTATTTATTTTTTTTTATTGACAGAACAGTAACTTTGTTATTTGTTTCATATACACTCTTAATTTCTGGCGAATGACGCGGCTGTTGTTGAGATAAACTGCTTTGTGATGACCCATGTATAAAAGGTAACAATACCAACAATAACATCTATTTTACACACCAGTTTATATTTAGAGGCAATCGAATAACCTCTACGACACGATTACGTAATTGACATAATGCGCTATAATTAATAATAATTCCATCCTTCTGGACGCAACATGTCTTGTTTTCTGTCTTATTAAAAGAGATATCTGATGTTGGCAAACCGACGGTTGGCATAGAAAGTGACTCACCAAGCAACCAACTTTTTTATGGTAAAATTATCGCGACATGTTGCTGGACGAGATGCCGTTGAACGCTGTTTAAATTTATATATATCGAGTGACTCATCGATATCGGACACAATTAAATTTCATGAGCTTATTCCAGATCTTTTTTTCAGATGTGCTCTTCGTGAGCGACTCCGGTACTTGAGAATCGGCTTCTTTAAACAGCGACCGTTAAATTTTATAGTTTTTCTTGTTTATAATGTGTTGGCTGTGTGACAGTCTTACAGTTCTTTAGTTCATTCCCGGAGTCGGAAGAAAATTCCACCGAAGTATGAAACAAAAATATAGTCCGGTCAAAACAGACATTTCAAATAACGAAAATTCCGACAGAGCCAAATTTTGGTGGAGGCCTTGGGTACACCATTAGAAATAAAGTTCGAAAGTCCACATCGATCCCATGTGTGTTAAAAATGTTATTCGGGGTCAAAGGTCAAAATTTGAGGTTGAGATCTATAATTTTTGTCTGGGGTACTTTTTTGATATAACTTACTGTTTTCGAAAAAAAAAAAATAAAAAAAAAACTCAAACTTTGACATTTGACCCCGAATAACTGTTTTAGCACACATGGGATCGATGGGGACTTTTGACACTTTATTTCTAATGCTGTACCCAAGGTCTTCACCAAAATTTATCTGTCGGAATTTTCGTTATTCGACCACTATTTCTATGACTAATTTGACCGGACTAATAATGTCCTTTACCAAATTTGTCATGGTGTAAAGAAAATTGATCTTTGATAGTTTTAATATTTTCATAATCTTCTTGTTCTTAGTCGTAATTCTGTTTCGATAACAAAGGCGTAAAATAATCTAATCAATGCTGACTTACACCATAGTCCCCTTCAATGGCAAAAACTATCACAAATTTTTAAATGGCAATGATTTTCAGTAAATACAATCCTGATCTCTGAATTTATTTATGCAAAATGTTATTTTCCATATTCAAATAAGCTAATAATTTCACTACAAGAAAGAAGACTCTTCTTATATCTCTATTGATTCCTAATAAATTATTAGAATGTCTCCAGCAAATCAGAACCGTGAAAAGCACTTAACCTACTGACTGGACAACATCAATAGCTATCTTCGACCAGCGAACCAATAAATCTTTGTAAGAAATAACGCACTTTCACATCTGTTATTAAATTAACTGACAGATCGGAAGCTGCAATCTCCTGTAAATCGATTCTGAAAGGAACTGCTTATCGGAGAACCCATAAATTTATTTAAAAATCTGAAATGCGATTTGATATAGCTCATTCAGTTTATCGTTTTTTTTTTTTGCAAAATAAATTGCCTTCGACAGCGTTATCAAAGGTGTACTTAATTTATTAGGCGCATGCTAATTGCAATGTTTTCAATTTTATTAGTACCTTCGATACAGCAGCGTTTAAGTATGTTCCACGTAAATTATTACATAGCTATAACCTTGAGTTTTTGCTAGGAATAATTCTATGTTACGTAAGGAGCTCCTCGGTAGAAGAGTACAGTAAATATTTAAAATTGGAAAACGTGACATTTTGAAGAATATTTTTTTCAATTTAAGTAAAGTAAAAACCTATTATTAAATATCTAGATAAACGCTGTTCAATGGGCTTAAGGAGGTTTATCGGGTACGGAGGTACATCTAAAGTCTAAGGAGAGTTTCTGTAGATTCGCTAGTGACTAAAGTCCTTTAGATTTGTGAACGTTGCACCTGACTGGCTCGCTCGCCTCGGCTTTCGCTCGCTCGCGTTCGATCATTCTGTGGACACCTGCAAATTTCAAATAATACGCTACGTCGAGACCGCGTTGCCGCTATCGCGCATATGTAGGATAAGTTAGTCAACGACAGCAGTTTGAAGGAGAATTATTATAAATTATGTATCTTACAAGTACTTAATCGATTTCTACGAGCTATCATACGGTTCCTTAGATATCGGTTTTCTATTTGTACAAGTTACTGTGGAAACTGTTCGTCAATTGTTGCGCATTCTAAGTGAAAAGACCAAAAAAATCTGCATCCTCATAAGACTTATTATTTTATTAATATCTCGTCTCTTAGGTATCCAAACTAGTCATAATTTTGTATGAGTATTTTCTTCATATTAATAAGCTTATATTAATTTTTTTATGAATATTTGTTTGTCAATTCCAAATCAGATAAACCTTAAATATGACTATTTGTTCGTTTACACTCCAACAAATGTTTAAAACCTTATTTTCTAATAGTTTTGCCAGGAACCAAGGTTGCCAATGAATTCTTAATTATATATTAACTACCTACGACAAGTGGTATTAGAAGTACTTAATAGTATTTTGCGTATGTTTTACAGTACATAGTTTACCACACTGAAAAAACGTTTTATTTAAGGCTAAGAATTTAAAAAAATTGTGACGTTACAAAACTCCAGTTTCTATTGTCTAAAACGGTATGAATAAAAAACAAACTATTTACTTCCGACTATTATTCAAATTTTCAACGACATTCTAAATAAACGCGATGATTAAGTCTCAAATTTACGTCCCACAATCTCGCATTACAAATGAATGACGCAATTATATCCAGGTCTTGATAATCGTTATAAAAGAACACTCATCTCATCCGATATTCCGGGAAATGAAGGAGACTACGAAATCTACATAAATCTGTTTACCAGTTTAAAAAAAAACATCATTATACTTCATTGTTTGATAAATTTATCACCCAAATTATAAAATACAACGTGTACAGGATGTGAACTGAAGAATATTGATAAAAATAATATCATCTTATCTTCTACTTAAATAAAGATATATTAAATAATGTCATATCTATATCAGTTATTCGGTTGCTAAGTATCATTACGTTCGCAAAAAGTAGTAAATCAACAAACTTTCCAGACTAAGTGGCATGTTGGTTTAAAATTCCAGTCACACTTTCCAGAAACTTGTAAATTTTTACGTTTAAGTGGGGAAAAAAGGAGTGCTTCATACGTAACGTGAATTAATAATTACTTAGAAATTGGATAATTTAAAAATTCATGAGGAGTCGTTTTTCGATGACAAAATTATTCGATTCTGCAAGAAATTTGTGAAAATAAGTCTTATCGCGGTTTCTACGTATGCGACATAATTTCAATTTATTTATTTTTTGTTAAGGTGTATATACGAAGTTAAGAAAAAATTCCGATCTCGTACGAAGAATCACTTTCTCATGATTAAAAATGCGTCCTTGTACCAAAAATCGTTACAACAGATGACCACAAAATTTAATTATTTTATGTAGTGCAAAATAATTACATAACAGAAACGTTTTGCTTGCTAGCCGCAAAACAGGGTCAAATTTTGAATGTCAACCGGTCGTTTACTTTTAAGATGTGGAATTATATGCAAAAATACCCATAACATAAAAAATATATGTTGAAAACTGGAAATTTTAGATGTTTTTTAAATGCTTACTCAGGATATCATCTCAATAAATTTTTTTATAACGTTTGCTTTTATTGTTTGTAAAAGAATATTTGCAATAACTTGACTGTACAGGGTGATTCACTATATTTTGACCACCCCTTTAACTGTTTTGTTTTAAGTTATAAAAAAATGTAAAATACAAAAGTTGCACGATTTTTTACGAATTTTTCGAAAATGGATGGTAGAAAAACAAATGAAATCGAAACAAAATGGCCGCGGTCTTTGTTAATTTAAATTAATTTTCACATATTTGGATAGAACGTCCTCTGTCGAGCATAGTCTTATAGGGTTTGTTGGGCCCATCTCTAACAATAAGCGAGATACTATTAAAAAAAGAAAAGAAGGTTTTTTATTAAGCAAATAAAATATCTTGTAATTGTTAGACCTCTAACTTCTGCCTTTTTCAAATTCCACAGAAGTAGAAAATTGAAATGTTATTTATTAGGAATTAAAGTAGAGTTTGGAGAAGACCTTTACTCTATTTTAATTCCTGTAATATTCCAATTTTCTACTTCTGTGTAACCAATTTAAATTTCCGATATGTCAAAATATATTACAACTAAATCTGTAAATCTTTACGTAATTGGAAAAAAGATAGAAATGTTTCAAAGAAGTCTAACAATTACAATATATTTTATTTACTTAATAAAAAAACTTCTTTTATTTTTTTAATGGTATATCTCTTATTGTTAGAGATAGATCCAACAAACCCTATATGACTATGCTCGACAGAGAACGTTCTATCCAAATATTTAAAAATATACAAGGTGTTCCATTTAAATTAACAAAGTTAACATCCGCGGTCATTTTGTTCGGACTTCATTATTTTTCTACTGTAAATCCAGAAAAAATCGTGCAACTTTTGTATTTCACATTTTTTTATAGCTCTAAAAACAAAATGTAGCGAATCAGACTGTATAGGGTGTCAGCCTAACAGACTTTTATGACATATATTTGTGTATATCCCAGATTTTAACAAAAGTTACATTTTCCGTTTATTTGCAAACTCCTGTAATTTCGATAAATATAAAAAATTTTTGTTGAAACTTTATGACTATTTTTCTCAAATAGGGGGATATTTGGCAAGATGTTCATGTTGAAGGACTATCTATTTTCAAAAGAATGTACGATCAAATAGGTATCTACTCTTCCAATTAGATAGCTTGTAGAGGTTTTGTTTTTTCTCGAAGCGAAAATAGAAAAATTGAAGAAACCCGAAACATTTGAAAAAATATATAAAATATTTTTAAAATATGTACTTATATTTAAACAAAAATTACATATTCAGGATCAGGATACCGACAAATCTCAAATTGGCTCAGCGCTCAGTAAATTAACAAAAGGTAAATAAGTATACATACTTTATTTGAAACAACAACAAAAAATAAAACTATTCTTTCATGATTATTTAAACAGAAAGAACCAAAATTAAAAAAGAAAACAAAAAATGTAACCAAATTTCAATATAAAATCAAACTAAATAACCGAACTCGAAATATATTAAATATATTATTATTTCAAAAAAAAGTTTAATTTATCTTGATTTTCCCGTTTACTTTCCAATTTTTCTGTTTCGTAATAAAAATTTTAATACCATAATTATCAATTCCAAAACTTACTGCAAAATTTACAAAATGTGAAAAAAATACAGTCTTGATATCAGTGTTTGATAGTTAAATCATATTCCGAACAAATATTTTGTAACTAATAAAGTAATTATCTTAATGAAAATGACAACCTTTGTACAAAGTTTCAAACACAAAGTACAACATACTTACTTACAAACATGTCGCTTGATAAGTATTTATAGCCGCATAATCTTGCTTTAGAAAATACAATAGCGAATACGGTGTATGACATAATACATCCAAAAAATACACTAATTTTGATAAATCTTTGGTTCAAATAACAATCCTATCACAATAAATACGTATCAATATAAAAAAATTAACATAAAAAACATACTAGCTTGCTGGACACCATCTTCTCAGCGGTCGTCCCTTCAGCACGAAAACAAAAGACACTCGCACAAACGCCGATCCGAACCTTCCAAAATTCCGGAATACAATCGAAAACACACCTCTCCTCTGACTTGCTCTGAAACCCCGTTAGCAAAATTCGTACTAAATCACCAGGCAAAATCGAGTCGCGAATGCCGGCCCGGTTACAGTGGGTACACTTTGGAGAGACGGGTGGTGCTGGCCGTTGGAAAAACGGCCTCGAAGACAACGCCAAACCGCCGGCGAGACACCTCGACCAATCCCAGGTCGACGTTTCGAATTCGATTCGAATAGACGCGGCGCGCAACAAGTGCTTTTCGGTGTCTCGGTCTCGCAGATGTTTCCACCGGATCGCAGGAAGCCGCGCGGCACAGTGGCGTCCGCCGAAGGGGCTACTACGAGTGAATACTGACGCGGGTGTGGATTTATAACGGCTAGGTTTTATCTTAATCGCTTCGTGTGTGAAGCCTCTCGAAGTTGTTATCTTTGTAAAAATTTAATGGATTCCATTGAAAATTGGACATCATGTCTTCGTTATAATAAATTTAATATTTCAAAAGGGATTACGGTGGAAACAATTTAGATCTGCTGTGATAAAATCTATTTATAAAAATGGCGACAACATGATGAACCTAAAATGTGTACTTATACGGGGTGTCCGGACTTCAGTGGCGGGTTCTGGGGAACAAATGTACTTTTGTTGAGACAGAAAAGTTACCAACAAAATGTTATTGGCGTTCAAAGTTAAATTTTTAGTTTTTTTTATACCTCCATTATTATTTGACTGATTGTATCGACATTAGATTTAGTTGGGTCGACGTAAAATAAAACGATTGAGCTTCTGAGTTATAATGTAGAGGGAGCCACTCCAACCCACTATTAAAAAAAAACACCAAGAAACATTTGTCATTGATAACGTAACAATGCCTTAATTTAACATTATTTCTACAGAAAACCGCTAGTGGTGTATTTTTTTCTTGAAAAAATGGGGCAGCATCTAATCTAAGTGAATACGTTGTAGTAAATTTCAGTCAATTCCGCCAGAGTATTATGAAGATACAACAGAAAGTATATATTTTTTTTGTAAACTGTAACACCCTCGAATACCGCGTCTCCCCAGGAAAAAAGTTTTTAGAATAAACTCTACTTATTTTTTGGTAATGAATCTATTCCTGCAGTTTCCGTATTTAACGTGAAATCACAAATCAAGAAATGGAAACATACCCTGTGTCCAAAAAATAAGGTGTTACTTATTTAAAATTCACGAGTTCTCGTCAGTTTTCGAAGAACTACAAACGAAATAAACGCTACTACCAACAACTACAAACGATTTTAAATCTAGAGCCTGGAGTTTAGTGATTTTTCATCAGTTTTTAAAGAACTACAAACGAAATAAAAGCTACTACAAATGATTTTAAAGCCAGAGCTTGGAGTTTAGTGACTTTTCGTCAGTTTTCGAAGAACTACAAACGAAATAAATGCTACTACAAACACCTAAATGATTTTAAAGCCAGAGCTTGGAGTTTAGTGCCTTTTCGTCTGTTTTCATGCACTTAACTACAAATACGCTACTTCAAACAACTACAAACGATTAATCCCAGAACTTGGAGTTTAGTGATTTTCGTCAGTTTACGAAGAATTACAAACAAAATAAACGCTACTACAAACAATTTTAAAGTCAGAGCTTGGAGTTTAGTGACTTTTGGTCAGTTTTCATGTGACTACAACGAAATAAACGCCACTACAAACAACAAACAATTTTAAACCCAGAACTTGGAGTTTAGTGACTTTTCGTCAGTTTCCAAAGAACTACAAACGAAAGAAACGCTATTACAAACAACTACAAACGATTTTAAAGCCGGGGCTTGGAGTTTAGTGACTTTTCGTCAGTTTTCATATAACTACATACGAAAGCGCCACTACACACAACTACAAACGATTTTAAACCCAGAACTTAGAGTTTAGTGATTTTCGTCAGTTTATGAAGAACTACAAACGAAATAACCGCTACTACAAACAACTACAAACGATTTTAAACCCAGAGCTTGGAGTTTAGTGACTTTTTGCCAGTTTTCATGTAATTACTAATAAAATAAACGCTACTACAAACAACTACAAACGATTAAACCCAGAACTTGGAGTTTAGTGATTTTCGTCAGTTTACGAAGAAGTACAAACAAAATAAACGCTACTACAAACGATTTTAAAGTCAGAGCTTGGAGTTTAGTGACTTTTGGTCAGTTTTCATGTGACTGCAAACGAAATAAACGCCACTACAAACAACAACAAACAATTTTAAACCCAGAACTTGGAGTTTAGTGACTTTCCGTCAGTTTCCAAAGAACTACAAACGAAATAAACGCTATTACAAACAACTACAAACGATTTTAAAGCCGGGGCTTGGAGTTTAGTGAATTTTCGTCAGTTTTCATATAACTACAAACGAAAGCGCCACTACACACAACTACAAACGATTTTAAACCCAAAACTTGGAGTTTAGTGACTTTTCGTCAGTTTTCGAAGAACTACAAACGAAATAAACGCTAGTACAAAAAACTACAAACGATTTTAAAGCTAGAACTTGAGAGTTTAGTGACTTTTCGTCAGTTTTCGATGAACTATAAATGAAATAAACACTACCACAAACGATTTTGGAGACAGAGTTTGAAATATAGCGACTTTTGATTAGTTTTCGCTGAATTACAAACGAAATATGTGCAACTACAAATAACATTAAACAATTTTAAAAACACAATTTGACGTATAGAAGTTAATATACACAAATAAACTTAAAATTGGAAGCGCTTTCTAAATTTACTCATGACAATATACAGGCTATTTGTAAATAACTGCGAAATATTTTAGGGGGTGGTTGTCGAAGTTATTTTGTGAAAAAAAGTTCATATAAAAGTAGGTCGAAATATGCTGCATTTCCGAGATATTGTTTAAATTTTAATTTCTTATTTATTTTTATTAATTATGTCAAAGAATTTAAAAGATATTGACTCGAAATTTGATGGTTGTATTTTATTTAGAAATATTGACAGCAACCTACTAGATAATGTATCAATAGAAATTAAAAATACACAACTTGCAGTAAAATGTTTTATTTTTTTCCTCAAAAACCAGTGCATCCTACGAAAAAAAATGAAGAGACCAACTTCATTCAGAATTAATGGTTGTTTTCTAAAAAAAATATTAAAACTGGGAAAAGTTAATGGCGTAGGATTTTATTTATTAAAAAAAGTTGTGGTATTCTCGCACGAACGCCACTGGTGCAAGTAGAAATATTCGGATCACCCCAAAAAAGGCACATTTATCCCTCCAAACCGTTTTCCAAATTTCGAGTCAATATCTTTAAAACTGAGATAATTAACAAAAATAAATAAAAAATTAAAATTTAAACACTGTATATCGGAAACGAAGCATACTTCGATCTATGTTTATACGAACTTTTTTTCACAAAATAACTTCAGCAACCACCACCTAAAATATTTCGCACTTCTTTACAAATTTTGAAAATAGCTCTATTTTTTTTCCTTGCTACTACAAACAAAAATTCGTTCACTACAATCAACTACAAACGATTTTCTATAGAAATCAACCATCAGATTTAAGTGCGGCCAAATTGGGGGGATGGGTTTTTTATAGACCATATAACTTTTTTCTTAAGCTACTTTAAACGAAAATATTGTTACTACAAACTACAAACGAAGATCTATAAGAATTTAAAAAAAAAATTTTAATTTTGAAATGTCGGGTGCCAGGTTCACATAGGCAAAGATTTTTTATTTTTTAAACAAATTCACCTTATTTTTTGGACAACATAGTACGATAAAACAAATTTTAAAGAAAATTTCTCTTTTGGTGTACACATTTTCTGAGATATCCATTTCTCACTAAAAGCTCATTATTTAGGCAGAATTAGTTTACTGATGAAAATAGGAGTGACAACTGGCAATATACTGCTGTGTAAGCTTGAATATTTTATCATCAGTAATCTCTTTTACACATGTCGAAGTCATATCTTTCCCATCGCGTTCAATTTGTACAATACCGTGGTTACAAATCTAATGTAGGTATTTAATGAAACACCAGGCGAGCCTCAGGGTTCGACACTTGGCCAACTCTTCTTTTATCTTTTTCATCAATGATATCGCAATCATTTTATTGTCCACTTTTGATCGTATACCGATGATTTGGAAATCTACGCTATAGTGTCTATTCTGTATCCGATTATAAAAAATTCGACAATCAGCACCTCAGTTCAACTTTGGACTTGATCAGGGTATGACAACTCCGTCCTCTTCACATTTTCATTCGTCAAAATCGTATTGTACATATTTTTTAACATCGTCGTTTGTATTTTGTTACTTTTTATTACTTTTTCATTGTTGTTTTATTATACACGTCGTTTTCTTGCTGTATATTTCATTCAGTAACAACTGTATTTTTTTAACATAAGTTGCAGATTTGTTTGTATTTTTTTATTGTTATTTTACTGTTATTTGCACGTATTTTTGTATCCTACGATTGGATTTCCTTCCCGTTAGACGAATTTAAATTAAATAAAAAATAATTTCCATTGCGCCTACCCCACTGACTATTTTTTTAATGTAACCGTAACACAGATATCCCCGAAGGCCAGGCCCCAATGAGAACGACCACCTGTTGCGCCAGCAACGCCAGCAGCGGTTGGCGTCAGCGGCAGCAACATCGGCTAAAATAGACAATGACTAATTCCACCTGCGAACAAATAGCGAGCGACTCCCATCAGCGATCCGTCAGTCCATCGACGTTTTTATCTGTACATCGCTCGATTTCATGTAAATCCGGGTGTAAATCTATCTATAAATATTATAAGGGCGATAAGGTAATTGTGTAATATCGAGATAATCTCGCGAATTATTTTCGTTGCAGATTAACGAACGCGTATCACCTACCTAATCGGTGGGTTCATCAAAATAGTCAATCAAAACAGATGGGTGCGATAGATATCTAAACGCCAGGGAAATGTTATACCTGTTTGGATTTTTTTTATTCGCTCAAACATTCCTATCCTGTACGTTGGAGATTATTAAAAAAATTGACGTGCAATTCGTGAACATAAACAAACAAGATACGACGTTGTTTTTGTCGAACAGCTGATTGATTCGCAGGGAAAACAAACTAACTTTGAATATTGCTGATGAGATTTATAATTCACACTGTCGTTATTGTATTTTATATTGTTTTGTCTTTGTATTTTAAATTGTAGTTTGAATTATGCAAAATGCATCACATTTCTGCAGTTCTTAAACTTAGTCCATAACTACAAATAAT